AAATAGGGAATTACATATGTGCAACATGAAATATCAAGCTCCTTCCAGTGCATAATTGGATTTTCCAAGGAAGAAAGTAGAAGAACAATTGTTAATCAAAAATAGACTAGAAAAAGGAATTCATAAATTGAAAACAAATGAACTAATCTGATTTTTATTAAAAAATTAATTTAGAAATTGAGCAAAATTCTGACCAGATACAAACTGCAAAATATATCTAGGTAAAATATTAAAACATAATGGAGGAAAAAAACAAAGAATCTGGATAGCAATCAAGCAAAAAGAAGCAAGAGATTTTTGTTAAAAAAGAAGAAAAAAACAAAACCTGAATAATTTTAGATTTATTCTGGTGAGGAAGTGAGAAGTGGGGAGTCAAAATAAATAGTCAAAACATTCTGACAACTTCTTCTGAATTATTAAGTCAAAAGATAAAAACTAGGGATTCTTTGGCCAGTTGAATGTTTATCCACAAAAAAATAATATTAATATTTATAAGTCAAAGTTCAAGGATTCTGTTATCATAAAATTTTCTGTTTTAAGAGACAATATGTGTGATCCAGATATTCAAGGACTAAATATATTTACCATCAAATTTTAGACAAATAAGAAGTGGTAAAGTGACTCTAGATACTGAGAGAGGTAAACGAACCAACCATTGGTAAAAGGAGAATTATGACTAATCCACTTAGATTTTAGATGCAATTCTGGGATCATTAAAATTAACACAATATTGATTGTCATTATTGTTCAGAAAAATGTTAACAGATGCAGTAGAAAAATAAAATAAAACATTGGTATCAATAGAAAAGGAAAACATTAAGAGAACAACTGAAACAATATTTAAAATAACAGGAAAATTTGGCAGTGTGCAGTGGCTCACTCCTGTAATCCTAGCACTCTGGGAGACTGAGGTGGGAGGATTGCTTGAGCTCAGGAGTTCGAGACCAGCCCAAGCAAGAATGAGACCCCATCTCTACTAAAGAAATAGAAAAATTAGCCTGGCATGCTTGCGTATGCCTGCAGTTCTAGCTACTCAGGAAGCTGAGGCAGGAGGATCACTTGAGCCCAGGAGTTTGAGGTTGCTGTGAGCTATGATGATGCCACCGTGCTCTACCTGCGGAGACAGAGTGCTGTGTCTCA